GAGGGAAACAGGCACTCTGACAGGGGCTCCTCACTCTGCCCAGATCCATACCCGGGTCTTCTGTGTGGCTTCAGTATCACAGAGAGGAGCCCTCCTGCTGCACCGGTGTGGTGGGCCAGCACCATTAGCTGCAGTGCTGCAGTTAACAAGGCATAGTCTTTGATGACCTCACGCCTCTTTTGCAGGGCTGGCATGCCCGGTCCTTGAGGTGGGGTGTCAGCCTATTTCTTTTGAAATGTCACTGAAAGCATGGAGTGCCAGAACGGTGTCTTTTTCACCCCAAGAGTCCACTTCTGGAGAGATGTATTGGCTTCACTAAACAGCAGGACCTAGGAGTCCCCCAGCAAAGGCAAATCCGTGGGATGGATGGCCTTCTTTTCATATTTTCTATCCTCTGCAGGGGCCTCTTATTTCCCTGAGCTGTTCAGTTCTTAAGTGCTTGTTTTTCTCTTGCCATTCTGAAAACCTCCCTCTGGAAGGATTTAGAACCCGTTCATACCGAGATAGGACTCGGGAGCCGCAGTACTCCCTGTGAAAGAGCAGCCTCAGGGCTGAAGACACCAATGTAGCCACCCCTGGGCATGAGGATTCTCACTTCAACTCTCTTTTCTCTCCTGCGGTTTCCTATTTGTGCTCCCGATTCGATTTGGGTGAGGCAGAGGGAGAAGACATCCTGTCTACCACGTCTAGGAGCCACCGGTGCCTGGGCCCTTGGCGGCTTTGCACTGGCAGCACTGTTCCTGACACAGCGGGGTGGGGGCTATGTTCAGCCTGCAGACGAGGAGGCTGAGGCTCTGGGACTTGGTGTACCTTGCCTCAGCTGCCCTTGCACAGGGCGGTGCTGGGATGGTGCAGGGTGCCCACCTCTGTCCTTCCCAGGTATGCCGCAAGGCTCGCGTCCTTTCAGCTCCGGGAGCTCAGCTCTCCCCCTCAGTGTTCACGCTGCGTGTTCAAATGCTCAGAGGAAAGACGCTAGTGCTCGCTCAGACGGAACGAGGGCTCTTTTGGGCTCTGATGGAACTTAGCTGATATCTACAACAAAGCAGCGTATGCAAATGAGCATCCTTGAGGCAAGAGTGAAGAAAAAGTCCACGTTTGCATTCTTTTTAAAAAATGTATAATTAATTTATTTACGGTCATTTACTGTACATCAATACAGTATACAAAATGAGATTTTCCATCCAGAATACATTGCGTATTAACTCAATCAAGGATATTACCATACCTGTTATCATCAACAGATATTTTTCTGTTTCTTGTTTCTTACATATTTAGCTTCCCCCCCTTGATTCCCTCCCTCTCACCCTCTGTCAATTCCCCCTCTCCTCCCACACTGTCTCTGATATGTACAGTTGTTTTCCATGCCTTTGTTTTTTCACATTTTATTGATTCGCTAAAGATATTAATTAATTAAAAAGCTTTCAATAGCAAGCACAGCATATATATATATTTATTTATATACATATATATATTTATATACATATATATGAATGCATATTTGAATTTGGCTGTAAACCTCAGTGAGTAAAGTGAACATACTATAAAGTAGCACCTCACTGGGCTATATAGCTTCCTGCAGTCATTAAATAGGTATTAAAAGGTATATTTAATGCATTTTTTAATTTCAAGAAAAACAGTTTCAGCTTTAATAGATCAAAATAAAAAAATATTAAGAGAAATTTACTTAAAACTTAGAGCCAGGAAAAAGGTTAGGATTGAGTTAAATAGTAGGTAGATGAACCTATCAACAGTTCAAGAGAAGTAAAAAATCCTTAAATATGGAAATCAAAGCATCGAAGAAAATCAGTCACGTTTTGGTCAAATGTATAAAAAAATGTCTATTTTACTAGTTCAGACTCCATAATTAATCTCTCTTCTATTGAATTGGCAGTGTTACTGTGGTCTGATCTTTCCATTTAAACTCTGGAAGTTAACATTCAACTCCGGACTTGTCCCTACCATGAGGCTGGCCATTCTCCTAGTTGTTTTTTATACTCTTATTTCTGTGTGTTCGACTTTAGTTTTCCTGTATAGCAATCCCTTTGGCACTTCTTAGAGAGCTGGTCTGGTATTGGTAAATTCATTCAGGTTTTGTTTATCTGAGAATGCTTTTGTCTTTTTTCCCCATATGAAGGTTAATCTTGCTGGGTATAGTATTATTCTTGGTTGAAATTGTTTTCCACTAACACTTTGAATATATTTTTTCATTCTTTCCTTACTTGCATTGTTTTTGATGAGAGGTCCAATGTTAGCCTGATGGGATAGCTTTTGAAAAGTAATTTGACGTTTCTCTCTTGCCAAATTTAGTATCTTGACTCTGTCTGTGGTTTTGGTCAATCTGGCTATGATGTGCCTTGAGGAAGATCTTCTTGGGTGATTCTATGTGAGGTCCTTTGTATATCTTGGGTCTGGATATTTGAGTTCTTCTCTAGTTTTGGAAAGTTTTCTTCTAGGATTTCATGGAGTAGATTATCAATGTCCTTATTAGTTTCTTCACTTTCTGGGATACGATTATCCAGATATTTGGGCATTTAATGGTATCTAGTATTGTATATTATTCTCATTTTGAGGGGTTATTTTCTGTTTTTTGGGTGAATTTTTCTAGATCAGAGGGTCTATCTTCTACATCTGAGATTCAATATTCTGCATGATCTAATCTGCTTTTGATTACTTTCAACTGAAGTTTTTTTTTGTTTGTTTTTTATTTTTATTTTATTATTATTATTATTATTATTATTATTATTATTGCTGTAGGGTGCATGTGCTCGCCAGAGAGACAGAAAGTGAGAAATCACTTCCCAGGAGGGATGGCCATGCCGTGATCCCTTGTCCTCCATTCTTCTCTTGGGATCTTGGGCATGCATGCACACACGCCCAGCATGAGTTTAAGCCACTGGGTCCGGGACTCAAACTGTGGTCAGCTGCATGGGAGTTCAGTGACATAGCAATTACACTAACTGCTGGTCCTCAATTGAAGTTTTGATTTCCTATATTACAACCTTCATCTCTAACAATTCCATTTGTTTCTTTTTTATGATAAGTATTTCCTCTTACGGATTGTGCAAGAACTTCTTCACTTCCTGGAACTCAGTGTCTTTTTTTCCTGCGTCTTCTGTAGTTCGTTGTCTCCTCTTGCATCTCTGTTAGCTTTGCCACTATGAATATTTTAAATTTTCTACCTGAGATTTCTATGAGGTCCCTTGTATTCTCTGTGGAGAAAGAGTAGTTATTCTGGGGAGCAAGAGGGTAAAGTCTGGGCAGAGGGTCTTTGGTGGTCGTAATCCCATGCATGCATTCTTGATGGGATGTGCAGCCAGACAGTCTTTCACACAGTGGGACCCTAGGTGGTGTGGGGGTAGACTTTACACAGTGGGTCCTCAGGTGATGTGGGGGTAGCCTTCACACAGTGGGACCCTAGGTGGTGTGGGGGTAGACTTTACACAGTGGGACCCTAGGTGGTATGGGGGGTAGACTTTACACAGTGGGTCCTCAGGTGATGTGGGGGGTAGCCTTCACACAGTGGGACCCTAGGTGGTGTGGAGGGATGTAGCCTTTAGTCAATGGTCCCCAGGTGGTGTGAGTAGCCTGCACTGGGAGTGGCCAGAGAGACTGGAGCAGGACCAAGCCCCAGGTCAAGAGTTTTCCCTGGAGAAAGAGGACAGCTGAGCTCTGGGACGCAGAGATAAATGTGGCTCTTGTTAGGGTCCTCTGAGCCCACGTTGTCCTCCTTTTTTATTTTCAAAAACAGAAAGAAGTCTCTCACACAGGGATCTTTCCCAGATCCTAGAAGCACCTTCTAGGAGCACAAAGTCTGTGGATGAAAGAGGTAGCCTGGGAAAGACTGCTGAGTCTGAGATCTTCATTTCCTCTAAGTTACCCCGTTTACATTTACTGGTGGATGTATACAAAGGTATATAAATGCACAAAGGTGCCGCTCACTGCCCACAGGTGGAGGTAGCTGCCCAGGGACACAGGCACTGTGACGCAGCGTGACCTGTCTTGCAGACAAGCAGCTCTGATGGTCGTGTGTTACTGTCAGTGACCTGACGCTGGTCCTCCAGGGCGTTTGTGTTGTTTCCAGACAGGGCCTAACCGCACGGCACGTCACAGTCCTACCCCGGCGTCCTTGGTACCCGGGACTCCTGATGCACACTGCTGTGTCCGCACCGTGGGGTGGGCCAGGAGCCGCACCTGGGCAGCTGTCTGTGGGGACGCCCTGCGGTGGCTGGGCCTCGATGGCCTTTTCAACAGCGAAGTTTCCTATGTCCCCGCAGGGTAACTTCTCTAGATTTAGTCTTTAAAAATGGCATGTAAGAAATAATACTAAGGGCTAGCAGGTGGCGTAGTGGCTAAAGCACCGGGCTCCCACATGGCCGACTGTGGTTCAAGTCCCAGACCTGGCAGACTGAAAGTCGCGCTGGGCATGTGTGTGTGCACATGCTGAAAATCCCAGGAGGAGAATGGAGTGCCAAGTGGCCATTCCATTGGGCGGTGATTTCTCACTTTTCCTGTCATTGTTTCTCTCTGACAAGTACAGAGCCCTACAGCAAAAAACAAGAAAAGGGAAAAAGAAACAACATTAATAACCAACACTTACTGAGTACTTATTACATGCCACGTGGCATGCTGAACATGGTATAAACTCAATTGGTGTAAACTCATTTAATTCTCAGAGCAACCCCAGTGAAGTTGATCCTCTATTATGATTTTGCAGATTAGGAAACCGAGTCACAGAGAGGTTAAGTAAATTGCCCAAGGCCACAGAACATCACACTGTGACAAAGCCCTGAGGTGCAGTGGTGGCCCCTGGGGTTCCCACCTCTGGGCTTCAGCAGTATTTGACAACTGTGGTGGCAAATCAATACCACATAGGTTGGGTTATCACCAGGACTTCCTACTAAGGGATGCAGCCTTTGTAAAGCCATCCCACGAATGTGGATGCAGCTCCTCCAGGAAGTGGCTTTCAGGGAGGCATCACATGGTTTTTTTGCACCTTTCAGGCAAAAGTGATGATGAAGAAAGCCTTTGCAAGTCAGCCCACGGGACGGGGAAGGGAGCCGCCGAAGACAGCAAAGACCACAAACGCCCCAAACGTCCCAGAACCATCCTCCCACATGGCCGACTGTGGTTCAAGTCCCAGACCTGGCAGACTGAAAGTCGCGCTGGGCATGTGTGTGTGCACATGCTGAAAATCCCAGGAGGAGAATGGATTGCCAAGTGGCCATTCCATTGGGCGGTGATTTCTCACTTTTCCTGTCATTGTTTCTCTCTGACAAGTACAGAGCCCTACAGCAAAAAACAAGAAAAGGGAAAAAGAAACAACATTAATAACCAACACTTACTGAGTACTTATTACATGCCACGTGGCATGCTGAACATGGTATAAACTCAATTGGTGTAAACTCATTTAATTCTCAGAGCAACCCCAGTGAAGTTGATCCTCTATTATGATTTTGCAGATTAGGAAACCGAGTCACAGAGAGGTTAAGTAAATTGCCCAAGGCCACAGAACATCACACTGTGACAAAGCCCTGAGGTGCAGTGGTGGCCCCTGGGGTTCCCACCTCTGGGCTTCAGCAGTATTTGACAACTGTGGTGGCAAATCAATACCACATAGGTTGGGTTATCACCAGGACTTCCTACTAAGGGATGCAGCCTTTGTAAAGCCATCCCACGAATGTGGATGCAGCTCCTCCAGGAAGTGGCTTTCAGGGAGGCATCACATGGTTTTTTTGCACCTTTCAGGCAAAAGTGATGATGAAGAAAGCCTTTGCAAGTCAGCCCACGGGACGGGGAAGGGAGCCGCCGAAGACAGCAAAGACCACAAACGCCCCAAACGTCCCAGAACCATCCTGACAACCCAACAGAGGAGAGCATTCAAGGCCTCATTTGAGGTGTCCTCCAAGCCCTGCAGGAAGGTACAGGAGGGAAGAGGGGAGGTGAGGGAGCCGGCCCCTGCTCTCTGTGCACCCTGATCTGTCCGAGATGTCCAAAGGCACATGGGACCGGAGTGGTGGGCAGCTCCAGTCAGAGCCTGTGGATGGGCCAGAACCTACTGAAGATGCAGGCCCTGTGGCCGGCCGGGGCTGCAGTCGGCTCTCCTGTCTCTCATGTGTGCACCCCAGCTCCAAGTGGCCCTGACTCACCCTCCCACTTCACAGGAGTGACGGCAGTCATAGCACCAGTAGGCGTCCGTCGTGGTGTCTACCGAGATGGGGCAGCTGAGTGCCAGAACGCTGTGGCTCGTAGAGGGGCCTTGTTTTGGTCCGACTGATTGTGCTTGGCGTGGCAATATGCGGGTTTCTCCTGCTGCGGTTCCTTCCCTTTTGTTGGACTGTTACTCCACGGCACAGACGTGCCACAGTTTGCAGGAAGGCACGGGAGGGCGTTTGGTGGTATCCGGTTTGGAGCTTCTATAAATAGAGCTGCTGTGAACATTCATGTAAAAAAAAAAACTATATAGGGACCAACATGTGACATACTGGTCACAGTGTTGAATTCTCACATGGCCGACTGTGGTTTGAGTCCCAGACCTGGCAGTTTGAAAATCATGCTGGGTGCGTGTGTGTGCGTGCCCAAAATCCTGAGAGGAGAATGGAGGAGAAGGGATTGTGGTGTGGCCACCCCACAGGGCATGATTTCTCACTTTCCCTTTCTGTGTCTCTCTCTGGCGAGTGCACATACCTTGTGGCAAAAAAATCTTTAAGAAAATTATGTATATAGTTATATATAATTTATGTATGATTATATATAAAGTTATATGTAATTATATGTTTATATATATTATACATTATATATATATAGACTAAGATATATATATATATATACACACATGCCCCCATATATATATATATATATATATAGTACCTTAATGTAATAGGAGCTTATTTTTCTGAATGTCGCCGTGCACAGGTGGGCAAGCCAAGCTGGAGGGGAGCCCTGTGCCCACCACAGGTGTCCGAGGAAAGTCACCATTGACCCTGGAGAGAAGGCACAGAGGGCAAGCATTTGGCTTTTTCTTTCTTTAAAAGATGCTTAAAGAGAGGAAGGAGGAAGGTGCCCTACCAGTGGGGTCCCCACACCTGATCCCCCAGACTCATCAGGCTGGCTCACAGGCGTGCAGTGCATACTCAGGGGGGCCATGGGACGTGACCCCAGGCCTGTGCTATGTGGGTCCAGTTGCTTTGCTGCTGCATCACTGCTGGGCCTCAAGCAGCTGCCCTTTCAAGGACCTTCTGTGGGTTGGTCACATCACTGCCACTCACATGTGGGCCTAAGTGCAGTCCCGTGGCCACACTTTCTGCAAGAGAAGCCGGGAAGGGAGTCTTGTCAGGGCAACCGCGGGCCCTGCTAAGGCAGGGAGTCCGTCAGTGGTAGGAAGGAGGAGGGGACGGGCCCTGGGACAGTGAGCTGTGCCGGCTGTCGGGCTCTTGTCATTTCCTGGCTGCCCTCTGCATGCTGGGTGCCGTCGCGTGCTTGCTGGTGAGAGACAGAGGGAAAGCAAGAAGTCACACTTCGGGGGGATGATCATGCCACAATCCCCTCTCCTCCGTTCTCCTCTTAGGATTTTAGGCACGCGTGCACATGCGCCTGGTGTGAGTTTCTTTTACACAATTAAAAGAGGGAAAAGAAGACATTCGTTCTTTATTGAAGATCATAAAGGAACTGCATTTAAAGGTTTTCACACTGGCTCCCGAGGTCTCTCCTCTGCCTGGGCTGTGTGCTGGCTGTAGCCCAGCAGCTGGGGCTGGCTCCACCTGGCTCTCACTCCAGGGTCCAGGCTGACGGAGTGGTACCCTCCTGGGGCCTGTTGCTGTCCCAAGATGGAGGCAAGAGGCCACGGCAAAGCAAGGAGCCTGTCGAAAGCCTCTCGCTAGGGATCACACACACGTTCCCGGTCCAGAGCAAGCCCCGCCTGGTGCAGGGTGACGCGCACTCCCCCAGGGCAGCGGCCATGGGAGGGAAGGGTGGCATTTGCTGACAGTAACGACCCTCCCCCCACACACCTTCAGACCTCGCAAGACAGTCAACTACAGAGCTCTCCCTCCCCACTGCAGCTCTCTGGGCACCCAGGGCGGTATGGCAGGAAGTGAAATACCCCCGGCAGCCCGCACATGACCTCCGTTCTCCTCTTAGGATTTTAGGCACGCGTGCACATGCGCCTGGTGTGAGTTTCTTTTACACAATTAAAAGAGGGAAAAGAAGACATTCGTTCTTTATTGAAGATCATAAAGGAACTGCATTTAAAGGTTTTCACACTGGCTCCCGAGGTCTCTCCTCTGCCTGGGCTGTGTGCTGGCTGTAGCCCAGCAGCTGGGGCTGGCTCCACCTGGCTCTCACTCCAGGGTCCAGGCTGACGGAGTGGTACCCTCCTGGGGCCTGTTGCTGTCCCAAGATGGAGGCAAGAGGCCACGGCAAAGCAAGGAGCCTGTCGAAAGCCTCTCGCTAGGGATCACACACACGTTCCCGGTCCAGAGCAAGCCCCGCCTGGTGCAGGGTGACGCGCACTCCCCCAGGGCAGCGGCCATGGGAGGGAAGGGTGGCATTTGCTGACAGTAACGACCCTCCCCCCACACACCTTCAGACCTCGCAAGACAGTCAACTACAGAGCTCTCCCTCCCCACTGCAGCTCTCTGGGCACCCAGGGCGGTATGGCAGGAAGTGAAATGCCCCCGGCAGCCCGCACATGACAAGTTCTGCCCTTTTCTGTGCTGCCGAACTCTCAGCCTCTGCATGGCCTTGCACGGTGCAGGGTCCCCCCGGCAGCTGCCAGGCCACCTGCAGGAGGTGTATGCACACAGAAGTGGACACCCCGAGGGAGCTCTGCGGATGGTGACCGGGCAGCAGGGAGCTGCAGGAAGGAAAAGGTCACCTCTATCTAGGGAATCAGGCGAGGCTTTGTGAGCAGGTGGCTCTGAGCTGGGCCTCCAGCAGGGGATAGGGTTTCAGCAGGTGGGGCGGCTCTTGCACGAACCCCCATGTACGGTGGCTTAGCACAGGGTGCGCCTTTGGGATCTGTTCTAATCATTCCAGGGTTCCCAGGCCCAGCCCAAGCAGTGAGGTAAGGGCCAAGTACTTCCCAAGGCCTCCGCGTTGTTCTCCTCACCTGTGTTTTCAGGGAGCGTCTTCAATCCCATCTCCTTCCTCAGAATCGAACCAGCAGGGGCAGGGTCCCTCAGGCCCTCCAAAAGTGGTGCTTCCTGTTCCTCCCATTCTCCCCGCCTGGGTGGCCCTCCGCCAAGTGCCCACATGGCCGGCACATTTGCACGTGTTCCTGTGACCCAGGTCCCGACTGCCCTGCCTGTGTGGCCCCACTGCGTGCACCAGCTACAGAGCTGGAGATTGCTCTGCCGGGTACCAGATGGCTTCTGTCTTCTTCCCTTTGGCCAGGGCTTACTGGGTTAGCAGTGAACATGAATACTCATGAAGCACTCCAACTCACCTAGAGCTATGAGGGACAAAACCGAAAATTCTGGACCATGAATTCACCGGAGGGCAAGAGAGAGCCTTTTTTGTTAAAGATAGGTTTTTTTTTTCTTTTTTTTTTGCTATAGGGTGTGTGCAGTCTCTGGAGAGATAGACAGAAAGCAAGAAATCACCCCCCAGAGGGGATGGCCACACCGCAATCCCTTTGCTCCATTCTCCTCTTGGGATTTGGGCACATGCACACACACACACCTGGCCTGAGTTTTAAGTCGCCCGGTCCAGGAATTGAACCATGGTCGATTATGTGGGAGTCCAGCAACATAGCCACTACACCATCTGCTGGTCCTGAGAACCATTTGTTTTGCAGAGTGATTCGCACCCTCGGTTGTCCTTAAGTAAGCTAGCGCGTGTATGTTATAGCTGATGCCCAGACCAATTTCCTTCATGTCTGAGGACCTCTCCAAGGCCTCGTTTTCAGGGGAGCAGGAACCCAGAGCACCTCTTGGGAATGTCCACGTAAATGAAAAATTATTCCTTTCTTTGTCTCTCCAGTGAGGGGCTCTTTGCCTGAGTGAAGGAGGTGTCTCTGTCTGGGTCTATGCTGAGCATTGAACACTAGACAGCTATTAAGAGGCAACCTGCTGCTGGAGCCAACCTGCTGCTGGAGCCATCAGGTGGCATGGCGGCTAAGGCACTGGACTCCTACATGGCCAACCATGGTTCGAGTCCAGGACCTGGTGGATTAAAAATCATGCTGGGCACGTGTATGTGTGAGCTCAGAATCATAGGAGAAGACTGGAGGAGAGGGGGTTGGGGCGTGGCCATGCCCCCTGGGGGGCGATTTCTCACTTTTCTTCTCTCTGTCTCTTCTCCAGACGGAACATGAGCGCATGTTCCCTATGGAAATACAAATGCACAAAAAACTAAAGGAAAAAAACACGAAAGGTGCATTAGCCCGGCCTCCCTGTGCTGCCTCCTCAGCCAAGCCGCGACATCGCTGTTTGTTTGTTTCTTTTATTTTAAATTCTTTTATTTAACTTTATTTACTCATTTATTTTAATTTGCCCAGAGAGGGACACAGTGACAGAGTGAGAGAGTAAGAGAGAGAGAGGGAGGGAAAACGAGGAAGCAGCCACCAGATCCAGGTCCTGAACCGTGGCCGGCCACGTGAGCGCCCCAACATAGCCACTACACCATCTGCTGGTCCTGAGAACCATTTGTTTTGCAGAGTGATTCGCACCCTCGGTTGTCCTTAAGTAAGCTAGCGCGTGTATGTTATAGCTGATGCCCAGACCAATTTCCTTCATGTCTGAGGACCTCTCCAAGGCCTCGTTTTCAGGGGAGCAGGAACCCAGAGCACCTCTTGGGAATGTCCACGTAAATGAAAAATTATTCCTTTCTTTGTCTCTCCAGTGAGGGGCTCTTTGCCTGAGTGAAGGAGGTGTCTCTGTCTGGGTCTATGCTGAGCATTGAACACTAGACAGCTATTAAGAGGCAACCTGCTGCTGGAGCCAACCTGCTGCTGGAGCCATCAGGTGGCATGGCGGCTAAGGCACTGGACTCCTACATGGCCAACCATGGTTCGAGTCCAGGACCTGGTGGATTAAAAATCATGCTGGGCACGTGTATGTGTGAGCTCAGAATCATAGGAGAAGACTGGAGGAGAGGGGGTTGGGGCGTGGCCATGCCCCCTGGGGGGCGATTTCTCACTTTTCTTCTCTCTGTCTCTTCTCCAGACGGAACATGAGCGCATGTTCCCTATGGAAATACAAATGCACAAAAAACTAAAGGAAAAAAACACGAAAGGTGCATTAGCCCGGCCTCCCTGTGCTGCCTCCTCAGCCAAGCCGCGACATCGCTGTTTGTTTGTTTCTTTTATTTTAAATTCTTTTATTTAACTTTATTTACTCATTTATTTTAATTTGCCCAGAGAGGGACACAGTGACAGAGTGAGAGAGTAAGAGAGAGAGAGGGAGGGAAAACGAGGAAGCAGCCACCAGATCCAGGTCCTGAACCGTGGCCGGCCACGTGAGAGCCCCCCGCCCCACCCATGCCACCTGCCAGCCCCAATGTCACTGTTTCTCGTGTTCATTTTCTTCCAGGTGAGGGAGACTCTGGCTGCAGAGACAGGGCTGAGTGTCCGGGTCGTCCAGGTGTGGTTCCAGAACCAGAGAGCGAAGGTGATCTGCCCCTTACTGTCTGTCCCCGTGTAGTGGCTTCCTGGACTGACAGCAGGAGGGCACTGTACTGCTGCCAGCTCTCCTGACGAGCCCTTGTCCCAGATGTCCGTCACCACAGCCTGCAGAAGGGAGAGCCCACACGTTTGTTTTCATGAAATGACTTCTATTTTCCTAGTGGCAATGGCTGTGAATTTGGCCAGCCACCTGTACAAATAAATGTCTTTCTGTCTTTTGGTAAAAGCATGTTCTTTAAGTCACATTTATTTAGCCCAGATACCAAAGTTCTTTTAAAATCTCGAAGAGAAGACCCCAGCGGCCACACCTGACTGACTGGTCTAAGACAACATTCTGTCTCCCTCACCTGCCCCGGCCTGCCCCTCACTAACTGAAGCCACGGCCTCCTCCTGCGTCCTCTGGGCCCTGCCTAAGTCTGTGTCCCCCTGCCGAGGTCTTTGTGTTAGACCTTTCACTTATTCATCTTCCTGCCCCAGGAACATTAACATATGTGCCTGTGGTTCTGTTTCTCTAAGGTCACATCCTTGCTGGGTGGTAATTACTATTGCCCGCTTGCTAATTGATCATGATTGGTTAGCTGAATTCCTGGGACATGGCTGTGGATGTGTTCCTTTAGGAAAACACGCCATGGTGCAATACATGTCAGGGACCCATAGCCTGTGGCTTCATAAAGCAGAGGAACCCAGCTAAAGCTCTGAGAAATCTTGCAGTCGAGAAATAATAACAGTAAAAACACCGAGTGTTGACTTTCACGTACTTGCACACATCCATTCAAAGTACACAGACACCTCGACTTACAACGGGGTCATGTCCCAGTAAACCCAACGTAGGCTGACAATGTCGTAAGTTGAAAATGCATTTAATACACGTCCTCTACCACACACGCCAGCTTAGCCTCCCCGACCTTGCATTCTCAGAGCACACACTGTCACTGACAGTGGCGACATCACCTAACGCAAAGGCTGTCTTAGGACCAAGTGTTGGCGGTCTCGCGCGCACTACTGACGGCCGTTGCAGTGAGGATGTGGTTGGATGGGTGTGGGATGAGTGGTGTCTACTAATGTGTTTGGCCAAGTCGGAAACCTTGAATTGAGCCATCGTTAAGCCGGGGCTCGTGCATATGCTAACATCTCATGGAACCCTAAGGTTTCACAGAACACAGTTTGAGAAACGCTGGTTAAGACGTTCTTTCAGGGAAGTTTGCACGTTAACAGGGTGCTCTGGAGACCAGCTCCTAACCCAGAGGTGTGGCTCTCCCTGTTCAGCCGTTGGCACCTCTAACACAGGACCGGCAGACTGGGTTGGGGAGGCAGCCTTTGGTCTGCGTCGAGGCTGGGCAGCAGAGCCCGCGGCCCCCGACTCACGAGCTCACGTGGACTGCTACTGCAAAGGCTCGAGCCCCACGCTGCTGGGAGGAGCTGCACCGGCATTCCCAGTCTGCAGTCCTCCCACGGCTGCGGATCTGACTAGAGGGGCGTTCCTCCAGGGTGACCCCTTCACTGAGAGAAAGCAGGGAGACACTCGCGGTCCCCTTCCTGTGGGCACTGCTGCAGACCCCTGACCCTGACCCTCCTGTCCTCTCGTCCTCAGATGAAGAAGCTGGCCAGGCGGCAGCAGCAGCAGCAGCAGGACCAGCAGAGCACCCAGAGGCTGAGCTCCGGTAAGCTGGCTGCGGTCCGCCACCCTCGCCGTGCCCACTGCCTCCCAGGGGCCTCTGGACGCCAGCTCTTGACTTTTCTGTGTGTTCATTCATTTCTTTCCTCCATGAGTGAGGCAGGGTGACAGAGAGACAGCACACAGGGTCTAGATGCCGCGATCCACTCCTCCTCACTCTGCCCTGGATCGGGGGCACTCGCGTGTCTGGGGTGCTCGGGGAGGTCGGGATGTGAGCCCAGAACCCCCCTGTGCATCAGCCTCGCACACCTCACGCTTCACTGCTGTGCTACTGTCTGGCCTCCACCCGCTTTTGAACGATGGAGGCCTGGTCTAGTCCTGTGTGGTGGATGAAACGGTCCAGTCAGGGTTGGGCCGTGAGGATCAGGGAGCGGATGGAGGGTGCCAGGGCTGCAGGGGTGAGCAGGGGCTCACCGTCTCCTGAGCTCCCTTGCCCAGATCCACCATCACACTGGGGGCTGTGCCAGGACTGTGCAGAGGCCCAGGCATGTCCAGGGTCAGTCTTATCCTTACAGGCCAGTCAGCTACTGTGACCAAAGTAACAAAAAATAGTAAAATAGTGATAGTGTCAGCCCTTTGGTAGTGGGTCCTCGCACGTGCCGCCTGACTCCTGCAACACCTCCCTCCCTGCAGTGGGCAGAGAAGTCACCATTGTCCCCTCTTACAGAGGAGCGGAGATGACCAGACCCAACGTGCTCCTAGATCAGTCGGGGATGCAGCGGGACTGGAACCCATCTCCCTGACTCTGTTTCACCAGGCGCCATTGCCTGGTCCACCCCTGCCCACATGTACCCATTTTTTGTTTGTATTTTGTTGTTTTGAAGACTAGTATGGGGATTTATAGGGACCAGCAGTTAGCGGAATGGCTATGTCGCTGAACTCCCATGTAGTTGACCGCAGTTCGAGTCCTGGACCAGATGGCATAAACTCATGCCAGGTGCGTGTGTGCGCGTGCCCAAGATCCCGAGAGGAGAATGGAGGAGAGGGGATTGCGGCATGGCCATCCCCCCTGGGGCGTGATTTCTTGCTTTCTGTTCTGGTGAGTGCACACGCCCTATAGCAAAAACCTCTCAAAAAAAAAAAAAAAAAAGAAAGAAAGAAAGAAAGAATAAAAAGAATAGTATGAGGATTTATGAAGCGGTCAAGAGGAACAAGGATGGAAACCATTAAAGAAGTGAAATGAAAAAAAAAAAAACTAAGAATCACTGTATTAAACAATGCTATCCTTTTTTAAAGAGTTATTTATTTAATTTTATTTATCATCATTTTTTACTTTGCTATAGGACGCATGTGCTCACTGGAGAGAGAGAGAGAGAAAGCCACTAGGTCCGGGACTCAAACCACAGTCAGCCATGTGGAAGTCCAGTGCCTTAACCACCATACCACCTGCTGGCCCAACATTAAGATTTTTTTAAAGAATTTTCTAAGAATTATTTTACTTGTCATTATTATTCTGTTATTATTTTTAATTTGACTGAGGCTAGACAGAGAAAGAGAGGAAGGGAACGTGAGAAAGCAAGCTGCCAGGTCCAGGACTTGAACCGCAGTCACCCATGTGGGAGTCCAGCTGACTAACCACCACGCCACCTGCCAGCCCCCCAATGTTGCCATTCTTTTCTGTTGTTGTTGGCCCTCCCTCCTAACTACTTTATCATACTCACATATTTTTTTACTTCAGTTTAGTGAAGGTGGCAAATCATATTGAATAAAATATCAGGGAACATGTGGAGGGAACCCACATATTAATATTGTATGACCCGTCTGTCTTCCCATTTACCCCTGCCTGCAGGTGGGGTGTCACGGGGATGGGATGCTCATTGTTTCCTGAGCAAGATGCAAAGTTCAAAGAATATCCTTGATTTTGTTTGCATTTTCCATTATCAACATTCTTTTTCACTTTTTCATAAATGATTATTATTATTTTATACTATATCCAGCATTGCTGTTCCTTTTTTTTTTTTTTTTGGAGAGGTTTTGGCTATAGGGCATGTGTGCTCAGCAGAGAGACAGAGAGACAGCGAGAAATCACACCCCAGGGGGATGGCCATGCCGCGATCCCTTCTCCTCCATTCTTCTCTTGGGATCTTGGTCACACACGCACATGCGCCCGGCATTGAGTTTAAGCCACAGGGTCTGGGACTTGAACATTCTTAAGGAGACACTTGGCATCACCCCTCCCACCCTCTGTGTGCGCTTTCTGCTTCACGCTCTCTGCCCGTGTTTCACCAGGCGCCATTGCCTGGTCCACCCCTGCCCACATGTACCCATTTTTTGTTTGTATTTTGTTGTTTTGAAGACTAGTATGGGGATTTATAGGGACCCGCAGTTAGCGGAATGGCTATGTCGCTGAACTCCCATGTAGTTGACCGCAGTTCGAGTCCTGGACCAGATGGCATAAACTCATGCCAGGTGCGTGTGTGCGCGTGCCCAAGATCCCGAGAGGAGAATGGAGGAGAGGGGATTGCGGCATGGCCATCCCCCCTGGGGCGTGATTTCTTGCTTTCTGTTCTGGTGAGTGCACACGCCCTATAGCAAAAACCTCTCAAAAAAAAAAAAAAAAAAGAAAGAAAGAAAGAAAGAATAAAAAGAATAGTATGAGGATTTATGAAGCGGTCAAGAGGAACAAGGATGGAAACCATTAAAGAAGTGAAATGAAAAAAAAAAAAACTAAGAATCACTGTATTAAACAATGCTATCCTTTTTTAAAGAGTTATTTATTTAATTTTATTTATCATCATTTTTTACTTTGCTATAGGACGCATGTGCTCACTGGAGAGAGAGAGAGAGAAAGCCACTAGGTCCGGGACTCAAACCACAGTCAGCCATGTGGAAGTCCAGTGCCTTAACCACCATACCACCTGCTGGCCCAACATTAAGATTTTTTTAAAGAATTTTCTAAGAATTATTTTACTTGTCATTATTATTCTGTTATTATTTTTAATTTGACTGAGGCTAGACAGAGAAAGAGAGGAAGGGAACGTGAGAAAGCAAGCTGCCAGGTCCAGGACTTGAACCGCAGTCACCCATGTGGGAGTCCAGCTGACTAACCACCACGCCACCTGCCAGCCCCCCAATGTTGCCATTCTTTTCTGTTGTTGTTGGCCCTCCCTCCTAACTACTTTATCATACTCACATATTTTTTTACTTCAGTTTAGTGAAGGTGGCAAATCATATTGAATAAAATATCAGGGAACATGTGGAGGGAACCCACATATTAATATTGTATGACCCGTCTGTCTTCCCATTTACCCCTGCCTGCAGGTGGGGTGTCACGGGGATGGGATGCTCATTGTTTCCTGAGCAAGATGCAAAGTTCAAAGAATATCCTTGATTTTGTTTGCATTTTCCATTATCAACATTCTTTTTCACTTTTTCATAAATGATTATTATTATTTTATACTATATCCAGCATTGCTGTTCCTTTTTTTTTTTTTTTTGGAGAGGTTTTGGCTATAGGGCATGTGTGCTCAGCAGAGAGACAGAGAGACAGCGAGAAATCACACCCCAGGGGGATGGCCATGCCGCGATCCCTTCTCCTCCATTCTTCTCTTGGGATCTTGGTCACACACGCACATGCGCCCGGCATTGAGTTTAAGCCACAGGGTCTGGGACTTGAACATTCTTAAGGAGACACTTGGCATCACCCCTCCCACCCTCTGTGTGCGCTTTCTGCTTCACGCTCTCTGCCCGTTTGTTCTGAGGGAAGCAGCCACCCCTGAGGACACCTGAGCTAGGAGGCCCGCAGCCATGGGGTCCACCCAGTGGGGCACCCAGGCATCCGGCAGCACGAGGTGAGGTGTACCAGTCTGTTCTGTTGCTAGTGACAGAAGATACATGAAACTAGGGGATTAATAAAAACAGAAGTTTTTTCAGCTGACGGTGAGATTCAAGATCCAGGGGCCACACCAGGCAGGGTCTTCCAGGGTCCCCAGCACACCATGAGGGTGAACGCAGAGTGGATAGTGCGCACGCGCCAGTCTGCTGTCGCACTCCCTGTTCCTGTCCATGCCCAGAGCCGATCCCGGGCCCAGTCTGGCGCGGTTGGGCCTGAGCTCTCAGACACTCACTCCATAGTCCGATGGCATTCTCACCCTCTCACCCATCATGAACAAATCTCAGCGAGTTTGCCCGCGTCTGTGCCTTGGGCTCTGCATCCACAGAGTGGGGCTGTCTCACAGGACCTCTGCAAAGTTCGGGGCGGTCACAGGGACGGGAAGAGCTCGGGAAGAGCCACGGGGCTGACTCCACCTAGGCAAACCTTGCGAAGCGGAAGGGCCCATGGAGGCATTACGAGAGCGCAGACTCCTAGCGTGTGGGTCCTGTCGGAAGACTTCGAAGAACCCCTGAGGGTAAATGGAGATAGCAGGGGGTGCCCTCAAAATCCACCTGCCCCCCACCCCATCCCTGTTCTCTGAGGTGATCCCTGATGGCTGTGGCAGGGTACACTTCATTATACAAAAGAGGAAGCAGAGCTAGGGAAATAAAGTTACCTAGCTATGGTGACACAGCTCACGTGGTCATCGTCCCCCAAGATGGCCCTCCATGACTTCTGGCCCATGTGTGGCTGCTTCTGACATGGAGCAAGCGTGACCAGATTGTGATTCTGAGACTAGGACATAAAGGACAGACGGCTGTTTCTTTCTTACTCTTTCTTCCCTTTCCTTTCCTCTCCCCTTTCCTTCCCTTTTCCTTTTCTTCTTTTCCTCTCTTTTTCCTTCCCCTTCTTCCTTTCCTCCCTCCCTTCCTTCCATTCTTTCTTTCAATTATTTATTGTCCCAGCCATGGTGGCATAGGCAAAAGAAGACTAATTTTATTGAATTGATCTGCAGTGCTGGGAGCCACATGGCTGACCGTGGTTCTGATCCAGAGCTGACCTTAAGCATGCTGGGTGTGAGCGTGCCCAAGGTTCGGACCAGCTGGAAGGCTGGGGCAGGGGAGCATGGCGTGATGAAACACTGTCAGGGTGCCTCTTTCTATTTATTTGTCCACGAGAAAGATGGAGAGATACAGAAGTCACCCGCATGCCGCCCTCCACCCCAGCCTCATCCAGCTAGGACCATGGGCATGTGCATGACCTGGCACATATGGGAGTCCCCGGAACGTGAACCTGGGGCCTGCCCATGTGGCCCCAGTTGCGTTACTGAGGCACCACCACCTGGCCCTACCAAGTGCAGTTTCCCTGGGCTCATTCGCTCGAGGGGAGCGGCTGTCATGTGTGAGGGCAGTGGCCTCTGTGGAGATCCGCACAGTAGGGCAGCAGTGGACACCTGGTGGTGATGGAGGACAAATGTACAGGATGCCGGGTGGCCTCTGGGCTGCGTGTGGAGAATGACCTGTCCCCTTCCTCGCCCCACAGCTCAGACCAACGGCAGCGGGAGCGCTGGGATGGACGGGATCATGAGCCCCTACACGTCTCTGCCCACGCCGCAGCAACTCCTGGCCCTTGAGCAGAGCGTCTACAGCACCGACCCCTTCCGGCAGGGCCTCACCCCTCCCCAGATGCCTGGTGACCACATGCACCCCTACGGTAAGGGTAAGGCAGGTCCCACGGGGCCATCCCGCCTGCCGTGGGTCTTCATTCCTACCCGGCACGTCCCTGCAGGTCCCGTGTGCTAGAGCGCCGACGTAGAACAAGTACTCAGAACACACTAGAATCGCTGGGCCCAAGGCTGCAGAAGAAAGACCCACCTGCGTATTCACTTACCTGTCCTTTCACAGTTCTTATCTGTTAGGAGGAGGCTGCCCTCTCACTGTAGACCGAGTTTGGGCTAGATTAAAGCACCTACGATCTGCAAGCAGAATCGATGCTGATGCAGGCACGAGTCTGTCATTACACTTTTACTGAAAGAAAGAGAACGCATCAAAGCACAGAAAATGAGTTTAGAATTGGGACCAGCAGTTAGCATAATGACTATGTTGCTGGACTCCCATGTAGTCGACTGTGGTTCGAGTTCTGGACCCGGTGGCTTAAACTCACACTGGGCGCGTGTGCATGTGTGCCCAAGATCCTGAGAGGAGAATGGAGGAGAAGGGATTGCGGCGTGGCCATCCCCCATGGGGGGTGATTTCTCACTTTCTGTCTCTCTATCTCTCTCTGACCTTCTGGCGAGTGCACACGCCCTATAGCAAAAACCTCTCAAAAAAAAAAAAAAAAAAAAGAAATGAAAAAAAAAAAAAAGAAATGCATTTAGAACTGAACCACTGTACTATGGACACCAGTAGGCCCTCCGATTTCAGTCATGAAACATAAACTGACTTATGAGGTGAAAAACATCTCACCTGCACCTCCAACCCCCCAACCATGTTAGGTGAGGGGTCGATTTAAACGCGCGGTACTCAGAGCGCCACTTCCCCACCTGCCCAGCCTGTTACTTAAGCTCGTGGACAAGAGCCAGGGGCCTGGACAGCCAATGGGACAGAGTGACCTTCAGAGTGGAAGGCAAATTCATTCTCAGGGCCAAATATAGGCAACTATTTTTTCTTTCTTTCTTTCTTTCTTTCTTTCTTTCTTTCTTTCTTTCTTTCTTTCTTTCTTTCTTTCTTTCTCTTTCTTTCTTTCTTTCTTTCTTTCTTTCTTTCTTTCT